ATATTAATTATAATAATATATATTATTAATTAATTGTATTAAACATACTATTGATATATTTGGAAAGTAATGCTATAATGTACATATTAAATAATATTATATTATATTTTTGTGACGAATATATTATATTTAATATATTATTAATACACTATAGTAGACATTATATTAACCCCCTTGAAACTCAAAACACAAACACCAAACTTGAAATACTTTTTTGGTGTTTTGAAAGAAGTGGTTTTTTCGGTTTTTTATATTGTAGCCTAACAAAAACACCACCTAACAAAAACACCATGAAGATACTAAAAATAATATAGTATCCAAACGCCACCAAGATTTATGAGAAAGTATTATATGTTTTTTGAATAAAAAATCATATACTTATGCTTATATATGATTTTTCAAAAAAATTCTAATCCTTCCACTAGAAATCATGTAAGTGCTAGAGTAGTGTTATATGCCCTTAAACATCCAATACATTTTTTATTGATTATTAATTGATTTTATTATTGCACATGTTGTTTGGGTATCTTTTTATATAATTGTTATATTATCCTTAGAGATTATTTTGTTAGATCATGCAATGTGATGGTCACTTGCTTGGAGATATGATCTAATTCAGAGATTTCTTAAATTTGTGCTTAACCTATAACTAGTAAAGGATAGCTTAGTTATGACAGGTTATTATGCATGACAACGACATATTAGATGTGATGGTTGATCTCAGCTATCGGAAATGAAGATTCCCCGGGTGTATGTCATAAGCGCATATTTGATATGTGTAGCGCAAGACCTTATTTGGATTCTCTAGGACGAGTCACCTAAGAGAGAGAGAATCCGAATTGTTACATGGTCCCTTAGACTTGATGATATTATCATTTTCGATTTGATAATCTAATATACTTTGATATGATGGTTAAGCTTGTTTTACAAGTGTTATACAGCCTGAAATATTGGGTTATTAGATTTTATTTAAGGAAGTGATGGATATCTAGTAGGATCCGGTATACTCATTTTTATGAGTTAATTTATTATGCATATCCTATGAATATATTAAATTCCCGTCGACGGGTGGTTTTTTGAAAATTATTTTTCTAAATTTATTTTCCTATAAAATAAAATATTTTTGATGTTTCAAAAATGGTTTTTATTTATGATCATGGGATTGCAATTTTAGGAATGAGCAAGTAGGTGATTTGTCCTGCTCAATAAAGTTTCCTAAAATCAATTGATACTGGAGGGGACAGAATGTAAGATAATATTATTCACGAATATTTAATCCCATATTATGGAAGAGCTTTTATGAACAGTTGGTCGGATAGGGATTTGATTGTTAAATTAAAATTATTAATTTGATTAATAATTGGTTCTCGATATGGGACCCAATTGGTCTCACTAATGTCATTAGAAGAGGTATATATACAATACAATTCTAATTCTATCCTTAATTGTTATGGATAAAGTTTTTAAACAAATCTATTTCTATCCTAATTGTTATGGAGAGAATATTCTATCTTTAAATATTATGGATAAGAGTTTTAAACAATTAAGAATTGTTTTGAAATTGAAATCCATAAGGCAGATCCAATCCTATATATAGGGCTCATATGTAGCCTCAAAAAGGGTAAGAAAAAGAAATAGATTTTGAGAACCTATCTCTCTGTATTGTTCCTCTTCGGTGACGGGTGGATTTCAGTTGGAGGTTTTTTCTCTTGAGAAAGCTACTGTATTGATCTTGGGACGGATTATCAAAGAAATTCAGAAAGCGTTTCATGTATTTTTCTAGATTTTAATTAATTTCGATTAATCTACATGATATGCATTTTTCCGCTGTATTGTATATTATGTTTCCAACAGTAAGTACATGACTTCTTTTAACCAAACTGTTCCTTTTCTCTCTTTTTTAGAGAACTTTATCCCCCTCTGTTTTTCATCTTTCGTATGTTCTACCTCCACTTTGGTTTTCCTTTGATAAGACTCACTAGAACGTATTACGTGTATTTATATCGAACTAGTGTCGTGTATGTGCGTTGCACGTAGGCATACTTGTTGATCAATTTTTTTGAATTCTTTTGGTTCTATTAGGTTAGAAAGTGAATAGTTATTAAGATATTATAGTAATTAATAAAGAATTAATATTTATTCAATGAAATGAGACCTAATGCATAAAGATTAAATGAGTATATTTGTAGGAGGTTATGAATAAGTTATTTTTATTGGAAACAATAAGTTTCTGCATAGAAAATTAGCTTGCATATGTTTATATTATCAAATATAAACTACTTGTAAAGCATAAGCTCTAGTACATTTACATGAGAGAGAGGGGTGTCATTTTAAAATTATCTTTCTGGAAATTATTACACCTCCTCTAGTTTATTATTAGCTCTTAGAGTCCCCTAATTTATATTTAATACTTGCAATTTATATCTCTAAAATTGCATTTCAAGGGTATTAAGTGCTAGTATATTGAGGAGGATTTAGTGCAACTCAAGATATAGAAGAGGGCATTATGTACAATTTTTCCTATTTGTTATAATGATGCAATTTACAAATAGTTAATGGAGAAATGGGTAACCCTTCATGAATAAGTTCCTTAATGAAGCGTGGTTAAGAAGATGGTTGAATAATGAAAAGTTGACGACTTTTCATATTACTGTAAAATATTATATTATATATTTATTTATTTGAATTGGTAAATAAATAACTTTTTACTCATATTATATTTGATAATTGCACATATTTAATAATTCATATAAATATTATATATTAATGTGATATTAATATATATTATAATTATCATACATTAACCATTATACTTCAATAGTAGATTAATAGTAGAAAACTAATAATTAATAGTAGAAAATTAATAATACTCTTAAAATTGTAGTAGTAATCCCTTCTATAAGCATCCTCAGGACCAACTAACTATATCATTTTCTAAATTCATCTTCCTGCACTTTCTATTTGTCCTTTATAACCCAATAACAGCAATGTATTACCTTAGTGACCATAGAACGAAAATTAACCCTTTACACATATAGAGTGAAAGCAGTTACACTTATAATGCATTGTCATGGACAAAGCTTTTTTTATCTCGAGAATAAACATAGTGCATTAAGAGATTCAAGCAGACTATACAAATAATTTAGCATATTTACAAACATGCCTAGGAGCTGGAAACCAATTTACATGCTAAGGCAAAAACATATACGAAGATGGAAGGGGGGGAACCAATTAGTTTATGACTGAAACAGCTGTAAATTTTGATAAAATATAGTACCACCTTCTTTGTCGCATTCACCGATTTTTTATCTGCTCTCTAATTGTTACACCGATGCTTCCATTACCATCTTCTCATTCAATTTGATCGTACTCCACCAGTGATGTTATCATTGACGCACTCACATTTCTTGCGGTTTGTAAGTGATGTAATTGTGTCTCCTTACTTTTCCATCTGAATAAATTTTGATTAAGAGTTAGAATTTTGGTTAGAGAAATTTGATAAGATTCTATAATAATTTATAGTGATTTATGGAAGAGGAATAGTTGTAATGTTTTTCATTATTAGTGTGTAATGTCAAGACTTAGTGGGGGAATGTTATTAGTGGGTGGTTAAATTAAAATTTGATGGTAATAAATAGGGAAGTTATGAAAAATTAAGTATGTATATATCTTAATGTATGCATGTATGGATGTGCTAGAGATGTATGCATGCATGTGTTTCGAAGGGCAATTTTTAAAGAAATGTTTTAACATCCATCGTATTTTTATAATAGTATAAGATATAAGATATAAGATATAGATATATAATAAAATGATATTTTACTTTTTTATTCTTATTCCTTGTCTTTCGTCAAATCAATTTGCTTTCTTTTAAATAATAGCTATATCTCTCAACTATTTGATGCTCATAAAATTATATTTCAAAATTTTGTATTTGTCAAATTATTCATTTAGGATGACTACTCAGGTAAGAGCACCAACATTCATGCGCTTACCGATATGGACTAGAGGAGAGTAGGGCTACGCGTCCAAGTGCTGATCTTCCAATGTTTTAAGTTGACTTGAAAAGGAAAAAAAAAGGTTAATGATTTGAAGAAGTGACTAGAAAAGTAGTAAATGGATTTTAGGATTACATTGTATATATGTTCCTCTTTTGGTAATAGCCGGAAAACTTATTGCACGCGATGCGATAGATTAAAGGATGATAATCTCATTATTTCGCCAACTAGCTGTAGCTATATTTGGTTCGTATTAGTAGTGTCCTTATGATCGTATCCAATCTAGCGAAGCAAGCAAGGAAAATATTGACCAAACATTTCATTCTATTTTTGTTTAAAACAATTGAAGTATTTTCGAAATTATTAATTACTATTAGTTGAATTAATTAATTTAAAAACACCCCCACCGCCCTTTATTGCCGGTTTAAGCACCTCTCGACGCCAACAATTCCCTGGAAACTTATAATATGAAGGCTAATTAAATAGCATTTAAACACTTTATAATTTCACTCGCTTTCTAATTATATCCTCACTTCTTTTTTTTTCCAGCATTTATATACCTAAGTATCATCGGTTTTTGCTATGTGACTTTTCTTCCATCGGTATTTATATGCCCCGTGGTGATTAAAATGGACATTTTTTTACGTCAGAGAGCACAACTGATGGAGGGAAAGCGTCAATTTTAACCACCGTAAGTGCAAAATGAGTGTTAAGTGCTACTTAGCCTAAAAATATGACTTTCATAGTTGACCTTTCACCATGAAATTAAACGCAAGAATCAAACAGGATCACATCTCACCAGCTCTCTCACATCACTCCAAAAGAACCGGAAACTTTCCCTTACGACACCCTGTATCGAATGAAATATTATAAAATAAAAATATATAAATGAATTTCCCAAAAACAGATTCCAATGAGTGTGCACCTCGTGCTATTTTCTCTAATAACGCTGACACCCTTTCACCGGGGCCCACTCTCTGAAAGCCACCTTCTCTCTTCTCGAGCTCTCCTCCCTCCCTCCCTCCCTCCCCCTCATCAGAGGCTCTGTATCTACAGCATACCGAGAGAAGTAAACGGGACGTAGGAGAGAGAAAGGCCAAAGATCTCTCCCTCCTCCCTCTCTTTCTCTCTCTCTCTCTCTCTCTCTCTCATCATTATTTTTATTATAAGTAGAAAGAATTTTACTGTGATTACTTTTTAGAGCATGGGAGACGAGGATCCTGCCCTCACTCGCTGGACATTTGAGGTGAATAGTTAATACAAAATAATTTAGTTATCAGCTCCAATCCAATTTCAACTTGGGATTTTGTTGAGATGTTGCTGCTCTATTTTGCTTTCTTTATCCTCGTTGTTGTTGTCGTTGTTAGTCTTGGCCTTGCCACGTTCTCTTTGGTGGGTTTTTTTCCTCTCTCTACCCCCATCTTCCTCTTTTCTTAGTTACTTTGAGTTCTAATGACTGATGGAATTTTGATTTTTTTTTTCTCTCTAAGAAATGCGAAGACCCATTTCTTATTAGCTGTTTTGGGGATGTTTTTTTAATCAAACTGTGATTTTTAGTTGGTAGAAATGCAAAGTTTACAAATTTTTTTCTTGGCAATTTGTATCCAGACTGTGCTTTAAATTTCTCTAGTACCAAGAGGATGAAAATTTTGGATTTTGGGTTATTCTGAAGTTTGTGATCTTCGTTCCCAGCTCTTTCACCAATTTGGGGTCTTCCTTCAAAAATCCGGAATACTATGGATACTAGAATGGAACTTCTCAAAATTTGATGCTTTTGATTTTTTTTGGGTTAATGCTTGTTTACCAAATTGATGTTTTATTTACTTATAATTTGTGAACATCGATATTAGCATATTGTTTTGTAGGATTTCAAGATGTTCTATAATGCAAGGTTTGGAAGGAAGAAGGAACCAAAGGAAGAGATAACAGAACCAAGGCCAGTTAGCAATGGGGGTTATTCTAATGGTGTTGTTCATGGAAATGGAAGTACTAAGAACACACCTGAATTAGCTGTCTTTGAGCAATTCGATCGTCAGGTCAGTTCGATTCTTTCAATTTGAATTTGAAAATCTGCAATCAACTACAGTGTGAAATGTGTATGAAGTTGTACTGATTTTAAACAAGTTGCATTCTTATTTTTAGGAACGCCCGGGAGTAATTTCCAATGGAGATCTGGGGACACCGTAAGTTTTCGTTGATTACATTACTTTTGGTAGCAAAATTGCCGTCACAATATATGGATGATTATTGGTTAAATTATCTGTTTAATAGATGTCACTTGTAGAAATGCTACCAAATTCATTGAATTCTTAGTATCTGCTTATGTTTTTGATGGAAAAAGAGTTAAAGCATTTGAAAAAGATTCTGTTTTAACATTTGATAGGAAAAGTTTCAGGCTTATGCCCTAATAGTGTAAACCACAATTTTCACTGGAAATAACATCCCCCTGTGTAATTTGATCCACCCATCTGAAAAATTGCAGTTAATGCTATTAGTGTTTTTTTTTCCGGATAAAGTCTTAAAGTTAAAAGGGGTTTTCTGATAACCCCTACACTTAAAGGGGGGTTTTCTTATATTTTGAAAGTTATGGGGGGTTATCTGATAATCATCCAAAGTTATCTTATATTTAGCCTTAGAAAAACATAAAGAAGGGAGGGAGAGATTTTTCCTCACTTCCTTTCCTTTCCCTCTAACTCTAGATGTAGACTCAAATCATCTCACTCAATACTAATCTTGTGTCTTATTTGATCATTGATTTAACAATTGAGATGATACCGAATCCTGGAGAAGTTCTGTTATCCTCTTGAATGCCAATTTAGGCACAATTGCAGCAATAAGTTGCGCTGAGTGAAAAAGGGAAAAGAAAAAGAATTTGACTGACTTTATGTTAGAAAATGCCTGTCATTGTTGTGAATATGTTGATAGATTTTGTTTGTTTGATCCAAGTTTTGCTACTTTAACTATGCAGTGCAGGTTTTTTCTAATATAAAGATGATCATTATACACTGAGCCTATTATTTTCTTGCTCCTGCTTTTTTTTTGCAGAGCCGTCTATATTCACAATTTTTTCCTTCTCACGAAGAAAGATTGCTGAAGAATAAAAGTATTATGTCAGCTGTTATATGTGTTGAAACTAATTTATTTAATAGTTTCTTGAAATTCCATTTCGAACTCTTGCAGGCGAAGGCCCCTGCTTCCTGAATTTGATTCTGCCGAAACACGCACTTTGGCTGAGACCTTGTGCAGGTAACCTTATTAAGGATTATGACTATTGTACAATTTCTAATTTATATTATTCAATTCTTGGCCTTGCCACCTTGGGCATCTACATTGCAAACAGTTAGGATTAATTTATATCATTATTCCTCTGCAGAGATATTATCCGTGGCAGTCCAGACGTGAAATGGGAAAGCATCAAAGGGTTAGAAAATGCAAAACGCCTTCTTAAAGAAGCAGTTGTCATGCCTATAAAATATCCAAAGTATGTAATCTTTCTAATGCTTACCGGATGTTGCTTGATGTATAGTTGTACTATCTAGCCAAAATCACTACTAGGATAATGATTGCATGTTGCTACTAGAATACTAATGAAAACTATTTTTGTTGCCTGGGCAATTTTCAAGTTTAAGTGTTGATTGATTTTGTTGCAGAAGTGGGTTTTTCCCCATTACCCGAAAGAGCTAACTTTTGGATACTTTAAAAACAAACATAGAACTTGTTGGAGTGACATGTAGAATGAGAATGTGTTTAAAGTGATAAGAATTTGATTTATTAAAGGGAATAAAGCCAAATGGCAACATATGTTAAATTTACAAATTTAAGTGCTTTTTTATTTTCAGTGCCACTTATAAACTTTTGAAAGATATTAATGCAGAAATACACTAGAGATAGAAATGTAGTATACATATTTGACTTCGACTAACTGCATGACACAAAATGCTAGATGAATTCTCACATCCCAGTAGCAAATTCCTCAGAGTGTTCTGCATTATAATAGTCAAAGTTCTTTATTTCCACCAAAAATCAGCTTCCTACCTCCTATTAGCTTGTCTATGGTGCTTAGTCCGAATAATTTAATAAATATAATGAAAACCTCATGCTGGCATATCTGAATATGATACTGAAATACCATATTTATGAACTGTGTCAAATGATCACAAATCAGGCAGGTTACTGTCGATATGAGCTCAACAACAACACATGTTTTTGTTTATCATCTTAAGGCTTCATTGTAGTGCATCTAGCTAGCTATATGTTTCAACTAGTCATTGAAAACATAACTAGTTAACTGTTAATATTTTATACTTCACGTCATCTAGTTATTAGGTATATTAACTTTCAATAGAAATATCTGATTACACATCGTCAAAGTGACAATATATGATAGACTATCTGTCAGATGTAGATAAAAAGAGATCCATGTTTGAATACAAAAAAAAAGAACTAATGAGAAATCTCTTATGGGAGAACCAAGTTCCAAACATAAGTAAATGAAAGATTTTTGTTTGATATTTATTGGTCTATTTAAGAGGATCATATGGCTTTGCTATTTATCTCTTGGTCTTGAATAATTTGTTGTAATACTTCTAGTTCGTTTTAATTGTCATAATATATAGCCCGCATTCCTTACCACAACTTCAGAGTTTTGGTGTAATGGTTAAGGACTTTGACATAGCATCAGAGCAACCCAGGTTCAAATTCCACTGGCCACGAATTTAAAATGGATTTTCTAAAAATTAACATTGTTGCATGAGTCCAGGTTTAGGCCCATAAAAAGAGCGCTCAACTTGCGGGTGTTCAACCCACGGGCACAAGTTATTAGAATATAAAAATATAACCTTCAACCCTCACCACAGCTTTGGAGCTTTCGTGTAATGGTTAAGGCCTTTGACATTAAACATTATTTGTTTGACTAATATCACGAGTACGCAATAGCATCAAGCATTTCCACCTTAAACTATCTGCAAGTGCCTTGCACATGATATAGTTATTTAAGCTTCTAAATTTTAACTCTCAAACTTCACATGAATTTACATTTGGTTTATATGTTATTTAGGTACTTTACTGGCCTTCTTTCACCTTGGAAAGGTATCTTACTATTTGGCCCTCCCGGTACTGGAAAGGTTTGTACGTGCAACATACTCCATTTTTGTTGGGATTTTCTGATTTATATAACATAGACTAATTTATATAGATAAGAAATTATCAGATACATTTGTAATTTCAGAACTGGTTTCTGTTTGGTGCTTTACAAACTTCATAGTTCAACCGGGATCTTGAATGCTTTGTGCAGTAGACAGTCTTAGAAAAGAAGCGTTTAGAATTAAACTAAATCTACTTTTACTGTTTTAGATGGAGTTATGGCTACTAGGACAGACTTACTTGTAGCGAATGCCGAAACTTATCTTTTTGAAGTCCTTGTTAATATACATAACATGAGCTTGTAGCTATTCTTCTTCTGTCAAGTCTCTACTTAGCTCCTTTCTTCAATGCTACGGTTATTTCTAACTGGGGCAGGTTTTGGTGCTTTTGCCTATGCAATCTACATAGAGGGACTTGGCTCTCTTTACTTCTCATCATGTCAAATATGCTATATAGTTTAGCCTGTGCAGTGCTAATTATTTCTTCTGGCTTACATCAGACGATGCTTGCGAAAGCTGTGGCAACTGAATGCAAGACGACATTTTTCAATATTTCTGCGTCGTCAATTGTCAGCAAATGGCGTGGTATGTAACTGATGAGTAGAATTTTCTTTTGTTCACCCCTTTTTATATTGTGATTTGAATTTTAGTATCAGTCTTTTATTTATTCTCTCATGACACTTGCCTTTTCACCACTGATTTCATTTCAGAAAACATGCGAAGATCAGGAAATAATATAATTTTTTTTCTTGAAGACATAGTTAAGCCTTTCCATGAAAACTTGGGGGGCGGGGATAATCAAGCACAATATTTTGAGACTAATGTTTTCAAAGATTAGGTTTTGTTTACACAAATACTATTTACATAGCTTCAATCTTTCTGGTTTGGCTCCAATCATATTTTTCTCAAACATTGGCTTTCAAGTGTTGACACACACGTTATATTTTCTTCCATAACTGTTATAAAACCGAATTATTCTGCACCTACCAACATGCGTGTGCATGCTATAGAAATTTGTACTGTGGTTCAGGAAACATGGTGATGCGAAACAGGGGAGGGGGTCCATCGAAATCAGCGATCTAAATTGAACAACGCACCGTTTCACCAAAATTCATGATCTTAGGCAGGAAATTTAATCTAAAACAGTTAATGTAACAAATGGATTTTAACAAGATTTGCAATGATAGTCATAAACAATCCCAATCTCGAATAATTTAATCGCAATATGAATTATCATTTTCGCAAGTTCTAAGATCAATATCAAGTTTAAGCAGTCACATATTCTGATACTCTCAACTCACAATTATAATGTACGCAGTGAATATAAGACAAGAGTTTAGAGATGTATTATTTATGCAATTAACTAACAAAATAAAATCAACAGAAAAATAAGGGACGAAAGAAAACGAAACCTTCGTCGGTCTGAACAGACTCGACGTGAGAGACCTCTGGAGGTGGTGCGACGGCAACGGTTAACTGAACGGCGATGATGAGCCGGAGATCCGATGACGACGAGTGCGACGGTGTTGAACTAATGACGACGCGACGACGGGATGAGAGTGGTGTGATGTCCCACGGGTAGTCGTCGGGTCGATGTAGGTGGCGGGCATCGGGACGAGGCCGGTAGCGGCGTCAAGACAAAATAAACGACGGCTCGAAGAGTGGAGGACGGAGGGAAATCAGCGACTGTTGAGGTGGTACTGACGGCTTACGGAGGCGGGAACAACGGCTGCTCGAAGGTAAGGAGAGCAGGGAGAGATCGGCAGCTTGTGGAAGAGAAGGGGTGGGGGCAGCGGGGACAGCAAGGCTGTGAGATGAACAGATAAACGGGAGAAAGTAGAGGTTTGACGGTTAGAAGAAGAGGAACATGTATTGGCCTAGGGTTTCACACCCGAGGCCTAGGTCTCACACCCAAATTAAGCCAACTCAAATTTTATTTTAATTTTTAATAATTCATTGATTTTCCAAAGTCTCATACAATCTTATTTATAAAAAAAACTACGTGTACACAACGTGCAATAAAAATAGAAACAAATAATCCCTCAAATCACTCAACTAAAATTAAACTAAATTTAAATTTTAAATTTTAAATTTTAAATTTCAAATTTCAAATTTCAAATTTCAAATTTCAAATTTCAAATTTCAAATTTTAAATTTTAAATTTCAAAATTCAAAAATATATCGACTAATCAAATATTGTCATTTCTTGTCCTCATTATTCTCCCCAGGTAGGAGAAAACTAGACTCCATCGAGTTAGCTGCAGAAACTTATCATCTTCAATATACTCTGTCTGCATCTTAATCTGTTGTCAGTTACTTTTCTGTATCTCAAATCATTAGGTAGATTACATTGTAAATTCACCATCTAAAATATTATCAAAATTCACTGTTGTATGGATGAATATATAGAAGTGGAGTAAAGTGAAAGAACTCTCATAAATAATATGTTAGGATCAGGCTTATATCAGTGGACTGCCAATAACATTGTGAACTGTTTAATCACTCAATATTACAAATAGAACTATGACCAAATCAATAAATGTTGTCATTAATTAGTTCAAGAGTTGGAAAAAATCATAAATATCATGTCAAATCTTAAACAACTATAAATAAACTGTATTGGACAAGTCCAAACCATCTAAAATATCAACATTAATAGTTTTAAATTAGGTCCTGACTCAATATCATACATTTCAGTTAGCAATGTATTTATTCAAATTAGATCACTGATTCCCCAATATATGATCAATGCAAAATAAAAAAAATAATGTAAATCAACTCAAATGATTATGATGAAATGCAGACTCAAACAATGTGATCAATGGCAGATGTAACTCAACGAAGTGTCTAAAATGCATGACGTCCTCTATCAAATGGAATAATTAGGTGTTCCTTCGTTAATATACATAACAAATTTCCTATTTTTGCAGTGATAAGGAGGAATGTGCAAACACATGCATGACGGATGAGTGTTTTTGCATGTTTAACATGAGAGAGAATGAAAACACTCGTGCTCAAACTTATATCCCTAATCACTATATATTCCCAATTTAACATGAGAGAGAATGAAAACACTCGTGCTCAAACTTATATCCCTAATCACTATATATTCCCAAAAAGGATCAGTGTATGTGTGAGTGACTATCCTATATATTCCCAAAAAGGATCAGTGTATGTGTGAGTGACTATCGGGACAATGCATGAGGGTTTGACATATAATATGGTAGCTATCTCATGATGCTTAATTTAGGATTCAACTTCCATACAGATATCTGAGTAACTCACTTTAGGAACCAAATCAGGAACATGTTTGGTGTCATGTTGGTCCAAGAGGACTTCGTGGGGAATATCAACAACGTTTTTAGTCACTGAAGTGAATTCAGGAGTTGGAGTTTCAATTCCAGGAACAGCTTCAGGGACAACAACAGTGAACTATGTGATCAAAGGGGTAGCTTGAGGAATAGTCGGAGTGTTGTCATTGCATGAAAATTTAATTAACTTCACAATTGTATGGGTAGTTTGAGAATGAACGAAAGTGCATGGTTCTTCGATTATACTATCCTGGATTTTCTTGTCAGAGTTAGATTCTGTCAAATCTACGGCCTGGTTAACGGTTTTCTTAATAATAGATTTTAATTCTGTTATAGGCGGCTTATTAATTCTAACTCTGAACGGAGTTGTACAGACGGAAGCAACGTGTCCATATCCTTGACAATTGTAACACTGCATTATTGGGCTAAGTTTGAAGAGAGATCCCTCTGACTTCTGGCCCTTGGGATCGATTCTAGACTGGGAAGAACTAGGATTAGATCGACTCAAAGGCTGACTAGATGTATTGGCACAGGAAGACTGGGAGGGATGAGTTTGAAAATTCTGAGCCCTATGAGATTGATGGAATTTGGTTTCATCTAAATCTTAAACTAAGGCGTAAGCTCTCTTAATGGTGTTTACTCCTCTAGCAAAAAGTTCGGTTTGGAGGTCGCTTCTTAATCCAGCTTTAAATTTTGATAAGACTTTCATCGATGCCTCTGATTCAATGGTGCTGCATCGAGTAAATAATTCATCAAATTGAGCAACATACTCTTTTGCAGATTTGGTTCCCTGATTAAGACAATGTCACTTATCTAGCAATCTATAAATACATTATGGTGGGAGATATTTCCGTTTCAGTTCGTCGGTCATTTCTCGCCAAGTAAAAATTAGTAACTCACCTCTAATATGCCTTATCATTTCAAAGTTGGACCAATATTGACAGGCGGGTCCAGTGAGCTTCATTGTGGCAAACTTGATTTTCTGGGATTCTGTCAGGACGTACCAATCGAAGTAGCGATCCATGCTCTTCAGCCAGTCAAAGAAAATTTGTGGATCGAGCTTACCATCAAAGGTTGGTGGATCAGACACAAGTTGAGGCAGGGGTCGATGAACGATGTACCCATGACCTTGCGATGGGTATCCATAGCCTTGACCTCGTGGCGGAGTTGTAACCCGCGTTTCTTCTAACCTAGCACGTCTCTCGTTGGTGTTATTCAGGATTTCGCGGGTAGCTCTGCTTTCATGTGTTAAGTTACTTATTTGTCCGTTTAACTCAGCGATTTGCTTAAGTAGTTCGAAAAATTCGGGATTTGTACTGCCTGACATGCTTGACTCACTAGTTGACTCACTTGACTCTCCTAAATTGATAGGGTAGACCTGTGCTAGTGGGCATGCACTAACAACTAGATGAGATGAATGATGTGCACAAACAGCTAAATGAGATGAATGAGATTTTTTTTAATATCAAATAAAAGACTCAACTAATCTAAAAAATAAAAATAAAAAAATTCCTACCCTAGAACCATGCTTTGATACCAAAAATGATGCGAAACGGAGAGGGGGTCCATCGGAATCAGCGATCTAAATCGAACAACGTACCGTTTCACCAAAATTCATGATCTTAGACAGAAAATTTAATCTAAAATAGTTAATGTGACAAATGGATTTTAACAAGATTTGCAATGATAGTCATAAACAATCCCAATCTCGAATAATTTAATCGCAGACAAATGGATTTTAACAAGATTTGCAATGATAGTCATAAACAATCCCAATCTCGAATAATTTAATCGCAATATGAATTATCATTTTCGCAAGTTCTAAGATCAATATCAAGTTTAAGCAGTCACATGTTCAGATATTCTCAACTCACAATTATAATGTACGCAGTGAAATATAAGACAAGAGTTTAGAGATGTATTATTCATGCAATTAACTAACAAAATGAAATCAACAGAAAAATAAGACGAAAGAAAACGAAACCTTCGTCGGTCTGAACAGACTCGACGTGAAAGATCTCTGGAGGTGGTGCGACGGCAACGGTGAACTGAACGACGATGATGAGCCGGAGATCCGATGACGATGAGTGCGACGGTGTTGAACTGATGACGACGCGGCAACGGGATGAGGGCGGTGCGATGTCCCACGGGTAGTCATCGGGTCGATGCAGGTGGCGAGCGTCGGGACGAGGCCGGCAGCGACGTCAAGACGAAATAAATGATCAGCGATTGTTGAGGTGGTACTGACGGCTTACGGAGGTGGGAACAACGGCTGCTCGAAGGTAAGGAGTGTAACGCCCCGCCCCGGAATCCCGGGGTAGGTACGCTACTAGATCTGATGGACTGGCCTCACAAACCACCACATATCTTTTTAGCACGTTTTTGTCCTCACTCACGCGCTCCCTGGAAAACTTCCCAGGGGGTCACCCATCCTAGAATTTCTCTAGGCCAAGCACGCTTAACTTTGGAGTTTCTAAGAGTTAGGTTCCCGAAAAGAAGATGCATCTTGATGGTATGAGTATTCCAATCAAATCTATCAATACTAATCACATCACCTTCTCAAGGGTTGGGGTATTACAAGGAGAGCAGGGAGAGATCAGCAGCTTGTGGAAGAGAAGGGGTGGGGACAGCGAGGCTGTGAGATGAACAGATGAACAGGAGAAGGTAGAGGTTTGACGGCTAGAAGAAGAGGAACATGTATTGGCCTAGGGTTTCACACCCGAGGCCTAGGTTTCACACCCAAATTAAGCCAACTCAATTTTCATTTCAATTTTTAACAATTCATTGATTTTTCATAGTCTCATACAACCTTATTTATAAAAAAAACTATGTGCACACAACGTGCAATAAAAATAGAAACAAACATAGTCTCATACAACCTTATTTATAAAAAAAACTATGTGCACACAACGTGCAATAAAAATAGAAACAAACAACAATCCCTCAAATCACTCAACTAAATAGAAACAAACAACAATCCCTCAAATCACTCAACTAAAATTAAACTAAATTTCAAAATTCAAATTTCAAAATTCAAATTTAAAATTTCAAATTTTAAAATTCAAAATTCAAAAATATATCAACTAATCAATTATTACCATTTATTGTCCTCATTACATGGCTAATACTCACGTACTTTCTTCTTGGTGATGTTTCAGACAAGGTAGCCTCAATGTAGATAGCTGAAATAGAATTTTCTAATTTCATGTTGGATGGTAGTATGGTATATCCAAAGTGAAATAAATAAAGTGCTGTCAATCATGTGGTTGATTGTAATATCATGCTTCTGGAAAACAGTCCATGATTACTTGTCATATTTACATAATACATTGTTTTTAATCTGCAGGTGATTCCGAGAAGCTAGTAAAAGTATTATTTGAGCTAGCAAGACATCATGCACCATCCACTATATTTCTTGATGAGATTGATGCAATTATTAGTCAACGAGGTGAAGCTCGTAGTGAGCACGAAGCTAGTCGCCGTTTGAAGACTGAACTTCTTATACAAGTAATATTATATGTTTCTCAACATTAAACTCTTTTTAAGAAAATGCACCATTTTTATTTGCTCCAACTAAGTTTTTTATGTGTTGAAGATTCATTGAATTCCAAAGGTACAAAGCAATGGCATGAACTGGCGATAGTGGTGCAAATGGGTTGGATCATATATGATACTTCCCATATCCATATCTGCTTACCAATCATGGATGCATATGCGAATATGGATGTGTCTCCATAAGGAAAACTCATATCCATATCTAGCAAATTTGGAGTGCGGATCAAATAAGAGAAATATTACTGATAAAAAATGGATATGAGAAAAACAAATAAGATTGAAGAAAATATAGATCATATGATACACAGAGAATCCAACATTTTGCCTGAAAAGCTAAGATTAGATCATTGAATCATGAACGTTTACCTCAAATCCATTAATCTAAATGGTCAAAACAATTGCACCTGTATGATCAACATGCATTCGGATATTTTGTAACAATTGCAACTGCATGATCGACATGCATTCAGATATTTATAACAATTGCAACTGTATGATCAGCAAAAATAATGATCATGTCCTACTGCATAACATTTGGCTAATAAGATCTTTATTCTGTAGTTTTCATTTCACTTTCATACTCCATGTTCAAGATGTAATTTTTTATTGTTACATCGAATAGATGATAATGAATATAATTTCAATACAGATGGATGGTCTGACAAAGACAAATGAGCTGGTCTTTGTCTTAGCAGCTACTAATCTACCTTGGGAACTGGATGCAGCTATGCTCAGACGCCTTGAGAAGCGGGTATCTCTCTCACATTTTAACTGCTTGATCAAAATTATCTAATAAACCTATTCTGTTCACTATCCTTTCTCTTTGAGAAATTGTGATTCATGCTTATAGATTTCCTTATGTTTCTAATTCTTCCACTGTATTTTCCAAATAAATTAAAATTAATATACTTATCGGTGTGTCGTTCAATTTGCTTGCTTCTTATCATGATTGTTAATTCGTTGGATATGGAGTTTATAGTTGATAAGGATACGAAATATTAGAAGCGCGTTAGGATATTTATAAATCAGAAACTTAGTTATTCCTAGGTTTGGAGTTGCAAACTTCTTAAAAACTCTTTGGTCTCTACTCATTTGGTAACAAAACATAACAAGTAGGAGTTAATCCAGAGAAGATCACTAAATTTTAGGAATTTCAATATCATGATCTTGAAGAATTTAGGCTTCATCCTATCAAAGTTTTAAGATTCGTACTGATTGCTTATCTCACAGACAAATCAATTCAGTTTTTTAATTATTTACTAAGACAGGCAAACGCTGTGACATTTTCTTTTAATTAATTCGTAGCTTTCTGCATAGCTTTAATATCTAACAGAGTATCTGCCGTCTGAATTTCCTGATGCCCTGGGTTATTAGCCATTTGTACATTTGGTAACACATTCAGGTTTTCAAGTTTCGTAATACGCTATCATAGACTGAACTTTTCTCTTTTATGTGATCAAAGGATAAAAATTGAAGTGTTTGAACAAGTAATTTTCTCTTCCAGGATAATCACAGCATTTGACCAGGCTCGTGTTGGGGGAAATTTATTCCTTCACTGTTTTAACTTCCAGAAGTTAACTCAAAGAACCTAACAAGTCAGGCAGTTTGCTGAATAGGTTGTTTTTCTTCTAGGAAAGTTATCGGAAAAGTAAATCCCATCATCTGAGCAGGTTCTCTTATTTGGAGTTTTTTTTTTTTTTGGAGGGGGTGGGGGGACCATAGAGGGCCCTCTAGAGAATATCGTACAGCCACTATCACTGCAGATACCTCTCTATCACTGTAGTCGCTGCAGTGCATTCACAACTGCACTGATAGACTCTGGTAACTGTGGTGAATTGCTAACAGATTTGATTAATATGTACATCAACGTTCATGATATGCCTGGTGTCACATTCTCCTTCATTTACGATATTCTATAGAGGGCCCTCTACGGGATTTTCCCTCTCTTGTTCTTATTGATTTTCTGCAAAAGAAATTACTTATTATCTGGTGGATATGAGCTAAGTAACTCTAACCTTATTGATAAGAAATGGGGTAATTTTTCACTGAAAGTTATCGTTTTCTATGATGTACCAGATCCTTGTACCTCTTCCAGAACCGGAAGCAAGGCAAGCGATGTTTGAGGAACTTTTGCCATCTGTCCCTGGAGAAGCAGAGATTCCATATCATTTTCTGGTGGAGCACACCGAAGGTTATTCTGGTTCTGATATCCGTTTAGTATGCAAGGAAGCAGCCATGCAGCCGCTAAGAAGATTAATGACAGTTTTAGAACAACAGGATGAATTGGTGCCTGATGAGGGTGAGTACTACTACTGCTAACGATTTTCCTAGTATATTACATAACCTCCTAAAATTTGATTGGGTTTAAAAATAATTCAGAAAGTGATGATTACTAGCTGATATTGTTTATATGATTTTGGAGCGTCATGTGTTAATTATTTTGTTGAAAGTATTAAAAAATGGGAATCATTAAAAAAATTGGATTCATTTAATTTCAGCCAAAGTTCATAGAGACGTTCAACCTCCAGTCTCTGATTTATGAGCTCCAAATGGTCCTCTGAGATGGCTATGATCAATACCTCTTGACTTATTAACTGGTTTGGATGGTTGGAGTGTATTTTCATGCATGCACGGATGCACACGCGCGCACACACACACAAAATTGCCCCCACACACAAAAAATTTCCCTAAGCTATAGTAATATATTAAAGGGGTCCATCTGATATCCATACACACGTATGGGACATGAATGGGTGCATGGTGAGGACTTTGGCTTGCTGTCACAGCTTACCACCATAGGCAAAGAAGTATGCTTCTTCTAGATTATTTGTGCATGTATAGCATTTAACAACAGTGACAAGCCTATACTTCAATTTTGGAGACGATTAGATGAATCATATTCTTCCATTAGTTCTGTTGAGGAATATCTTTTCCTGAGTTAATCAGTATCATATCCTTCTTAACTATTCAACCAAGTCCTTCTATGCCTATCTCTACTTTCTCCATTATTTGTAGTCTTATCACTTCTCCTAATTGATGCATTTAACTGCCTCCGTTGCTCATGATGAAACCATCTCAAAAGTTTCTCTCATTTTATCCTCATGGGAGCCACCCCTAACTTCCTACAAATGCTTCTCTTATATATCTTATGTCTTAGTGTATATCCACATGTCCATCATTTTTACCACTCTCATTTTGCACATGTTCTTTCTTAAATGCCCACATTCTGATCTATAGAATATTGTGGGTCTTATAGCTATCATGTAGAATAATTCCTTCAATTTCAGAGGTATTCTAACATCACATTATGGGTTTTGTAGCATGTATAGCACTCAAGTGTATTAATTTTGTACTCTACCTGGATATAACCAATCCTTCTATGGATTTCAGAGTTGCCAGCAGTTGGTCCTGTGACACCCCAAGATATTGAGGTGGCTCTGAAGAACACGAGACCATCAGCCCATCTTCATGCCCACCGATACGAGAAGTTCAATGATGATTATGGCAGTCAGATTCTTCATTAAAGATCCCTTCAGTATGCTTTTGGTTTGATCAAATTATTCATGTCCTATAGATCGTAAAATGTGTATTTCTGGGGATCATGGATTCTTCATCTCAAAGATGCGTGGTAGAGGATGACATAAATGGCCTCTGCATTGAGTACCCTTGATGTATTGGGTATGAATGCTTTTAGATCCATGACATTTCCTAAACAAAAACTTCCTGCTTTGTAGATTGTGGCATAATTGTCTGACGTCTCATCACTAAACTTGCACAGATTCATGAATTTAAACTTGCACAGATTCATCAACTATTTATTGCTGAAGACGGGTGATTGTTGTTGTGGTTTCAACTCAATGTATTAATAAAACTGGCTGTTAGTTTATTTTTAATGTTATGCATTACTACTATTTTTATGTCAACGGAAACTGTGGAATATGTGACGTTTATCCATCACCCCTCTGGTGATAACAGATGAAGTGCATATTCATATTGTTGAGTGTATCAACTGTTGGATATTCTGTGTCTCTCTCGTCATCTGATCGAAGTTAATACCACTTCAATGGATTATGATTTCTTTCCATGATTCAAAGTTCTATTTATAAAATTTCTCATGTATCACCTACAGATGCTTCTGCTATTAGGAAATATGATTTCTTTCCTTGCGGGCCAACAGGGATGCCTTTTCCACCCTCTTCGGCAATCATCTCCAGATTAGTAGTTAATTACAAAGTTCTAAAGTATAACAATTCCTTAGACATTTTTGGTGTATTAAGAACTGTTGGTAGGAGTTATTGAGCCAGCAGTTTTGATGCTGTTGTGTGACCTGACTAGAGCTCACCAAGAGGCTAAGAAAAAAAAATTCCCTCTTTTTACCAACCAGAATGACACTAAGATTTCTACCATTAATAAACGATAATGAAAGTGGCGTCAAAATGATGCAGTCTACATTCCAGTAAATACACATGATTCAATATATTTGACTTCAATACACTCAAAATTTGTCATTTCAGATAACATTGTATAATTCTACATCACACCTGAAGAACTGCCATCAATTCCGAAATTTTTATAAAATTATTTAGCCAATACTGATTTGTAAATGAAGCCTCTGCATGCATCCGGTCATATATATGAGACAGCCACCTCGGATTAAGAACAAGCAGTTTCTTCCGTAATTTCAGCCTCAGCCCTTCCAACAAAGAACTATGTTGGGGTAGAAGACTCAATATCAAAATGTATACAAAATTATCCAACTCTTAACACATAAACCAACTAATGTGGCCAGTTTACTTCCTCGGAGCTTTTCTTCCTCTCGCTCAATTTTTCTGCTGGTGGGACAGTCAGGACTGTCAGCATTGCTCCTGGAGGCTATAAGGGAGAAAGCCACAATAGTTGCAGAAAGTTATGGAGCAACTTGTATCTACTATGATGCAATCAAGAGACATGTCGACGAATAGTTGGGTGCTCTAATCGCTTGCTTTCCAGACTTGCATGTATGGGCGGTATTCTCGCATTGCAGCAAAAAGAAGCAACAAGAAGCTGGTGTTGCTGATCATCCTCTCGCTTCTTGGTCTATCCATTTATAATACTATTCTCATGAAGCCTTTCCATTGTCTGATAACAACTCCATCCAGCTCTCAGGAAGATAACTCCTTAACTAACTCTTAAATCCGGCAAGTAAGCTATTGGAGGAGCTTACCAAGTTACCTGAGTTCCGTTCCATGTGTTTCTGTGAGAAAAATGCTCTATTGGTGATGTTGCAGGTAAATTTCTATTGAGGATGATTGCCCGGAAAATTCTGCCATTAACTTGAAGCATTTATTCCTGGGTTCCATGGTACTATTACCCTGTATAAATAAAAATTTCATACCAGATTAATTTGATATCCCACTATATACAACATGATGTTTTGGGAGTCTTATTCTTTTAGGATAGTTTGTATGACTTCTGTAGGATGGTTTGTATGACTTCTTTGGTTCTTTTACCATAGAAAACCATAGTGGCACGCCCTAATAAACTTTTCAATGGAAAAGGAAGAATTATGTTCCCCTATCAGTTTCAGGTATATAAAAGTAAACAATCTGTCTTCGTGCCCTTAAATGTTAGTACTGATGATGCTGTTAAATCTGTAGCACCGATGAACTCAAGTTCTTTATTACTATAAGATATCTATCTTTAGATTCCTAAAAATATTGATGTATGTACTTTATGCCAACCTATTTTTCAGAATATGTTGCTAGAGAATTTTAAGGGAATAAATTAGCTGCAATAGGAATGACAATAGAAGAATATGAATATTACAAAGGCAATGTTGGTATAGTGGTTAATAGAAAATTAGAATAGACCGCGGGCCGTGGGGGGGGCGGGGCGGGCGTGAGCGTTCATTTTTTGGAGGGGTGACCTACTAGCTGCACCTACTTCAAAGAAGACACACACGAAAGGTTACTGGACCAGGAATTACTTTTTTAAAAAACAATATTCAACAGTTTGAAGAGCATATATTTGAACCATTTTTCAATTGCCGTTATTATCAATCCATGATTTCATTGATGTCTTTCCCTTATTTAATTTCATATTCTCCTTTTTGAGTAAAAATCTTGCCAGATATCTTTGCAGAAACAAACTACAGAAACTGGAAGTTAGTTTAAATATTAAGGAAAGAAAGAAAATTAACGACAGCCACAGGCTTAGTTTACCTTGTGAGGGACTAGCATAAACATAAAAGTATTCCAGGTCAGCAAACAGTAGTGGAAAGAATTTATAAAATCGATTACTGCCTAGAGCTTCAACACACAAGTGGGAATAGATTATAACGAAATTTATTACAATGAAGTAACAACACAAATGTTTATAAGATCTACGCAAAGAATTTGCTGGTACTAAATATTCTGGTGGAATGAGAAGTAGAGAATTAGATGCAATATATATAAAACTAACGTGCCAGTAAGGGTATCTTCAAAGTGGATATCAGCCAGAGAAACCTTATCTTGTTGAAATGAAAGTCTTCTTCGCAACTTAGGGAAAAAAATGGTATCCTTCTCCTCGAATTCCTTTTATTGCCGAATAAAGGGGGAATAACAAAACAAAACAAATATAACATTACCTTGATACGAAGACATATTGCTCAAAGACCATTGTGTCCTCAAGATCAATGAAGAAAGCAGGAAAGATCCATGTGCAAAGTGTTTGAGCAGGAAGAAAACCAAGCAAAAGTTCAAGGCCAAGTCAATATATTACAATAGAACGGACAACGGACTAATTGACCAATGAGCTATCAATCTTCTTACTGAATAAATCACTTTGATGTTGTTCCTAGCATAGAACCAAACTGATCTTCATATCCTACATTTTGAGCAGTCACAATATTCCAAAGTTTCATTAGATGTCCCCATAAGCTCGACCCCTAATAGGTTAAGCAATTATGTATATCTCCTTTTTACAAATTGTTGTCAACGTGCTAATCCATTCGTTAAACATTTTCTAGGTATCAATAATTTTGTTGAATAATCTAGTAAAAAAACATACTAAGCCCATATCTCCAGACATCTCCAAACTTCAATAGGACTCCCACAATCTTCATATTATCTAAAGCGTTCTTAATCTCTTTAAGCCTATCTTTCGGATACTACTTGTTCTTGCTTAATATGGATAGAACCATTTATTCTACTTCATCAGATCTACTCTGAAAATAGCTCCAACTCACTTCAACTATATCATCGTTTATATGACTCGCTCATCATAACTCTATTTCATTTAAGAGTACCTAGGTCTAATCTTTCTTTCTTTCTCTCATCTTTGGCAAGGTCATAGACATCCCACCCTTTATCTATTATATCTCTTTACATGAATGTTCGTATGTTTTTCAATAGCCTAAAAAACTTCTCTTGTTGCTGAATTATTTGTTAACTTATATTTCTCAAAACTTCCTTATTTCCGCACACAAATAGTTACCTTTTGGGTCATCCATCAACAGCTCTCAATGGTAGGCAATCTATTACCCTTATTTATCTAAGGATTTCTTTAACTACTTTCGTTATCACATTTAGAGAATAGTTTCTACAATATGTTAGTCAAGTGACTTTCGTCATCCACAAGGTGTAAAACGTTGGCTAATACCTATATGTGTTAACCATATTTTATCAGAATTAAAGAACGCCAATTTAATCCAGACGAAATTGGTGCCCTAACCCATCCTTGCTCCCTCGTCAATGCAGCATGTGACATTGGCATAATGACAAGTGAAACTTGTTCAGTAAGTAATAATGCTAGAAATACTTTTTATACTAGTTTTGAGCAAAACAACAGCTTCATGTTTTCACTAGGTTTTTTTGTTTTTCCAGAGCTCCCATTTTGCTTGAATATTGGATGAACTCATAGTTACAGGAAACATCAAAAAGCAATTCACATAAGAAAAATATGTGTACTGCAGTAGTTAAAAGACAATAATATTGGAAAAGGTAGTTGTTTCAAAGAATAATGAACAATTCCAACCAGATCCTAGATAGATGAAATAAATAAGGCCACATAAATTAGTCATGGAATTAGAATATGGCTAACCTTATTTTGTTTCACAGATTTTTCATTTACTGATCAAGTTCACCATTGAGTCACGTCTTGTGAAACCAGAATCTTCTGCAACCGCTTCTGCAACAACGACCTTAAACAGTAACTTAAAGCCAAATCCTACCCAAGTACTATTTGATGGTCAAAATTTCAGCATCGCATTTCTCAGCTTCAGCAAGCTCCAAGTTATTTGGAT